TATATAAGTGTAAGCAATTATTATTATTATTATTATTATTATTATTATTATTATTATTATTATTAAAGCGCTTTGAGTGGAGTGTCCAGAAAAGTATAAGCATTAATTAATTATTATTATTTGTGACTGTCCACAGGTCCGACCACTCACACTCCAGGGCTGTGTGACACAGAGGGGCAGAGGCAGGCAGATAATGCAGTATTACAGACAAGCATGGCCACGCTGAGCAGACAAATGTGTTGCCCGAATCCAGCACACACTGGGGGCCATTCCTTCCACTGCTGGGTAAAAGCTGGCCCTCAGGCCATGGCCGTCTCCTTCTTACACCGGTAGCACCTTCAGGACTCTGCAGCAAACGGCCAGACAAGGAGAGACTCTGGAGCGCCAAGCTGAGATATTCTGGAGGCCCACCCAGCACACTGCGATCACTCCAGATCGAAAGGGATAGTAACCCTGAAGACAGCGATGGGCCGTGATAGAAATGTCTGAAGAGCTGGTTGCAAACGATAAGGTCCTGAGGTGTCATTAAAAGCTTGCTTCTCAGGCTTGAGGATTTTTTTTTCAGCTGGACCAGTGAGGGTCGCCCGTATTCTAGTCATAGAGAAGACTACCTGCCTCACTGGAACCCCTTTGAAATGGGATTGCGATGGCCCAGACTGTCCAGCAGGTGGCAGCCTATCTCCACAATATAGAAATAACTGGTGGCTTCCTGTAACAGCGGGACTAAGGGCATTGCTTTGATCTCCACAAAAGCAGTTGATAACCACCACGATTTCCTCTCAAAATAACACATTTGCCCCGTTTCCTTTTGATTCTGAGTGCATGCCTGGTATCTTTTCAATTCAAATTCAAGGTGCTTTAGTCGCATGATGGGTACAATCAGTGTTGCCAAAGCAAATGCAAATAATAAAATTAACATGGAACAAAACATTAAATAAAAATAAAATAAAATCTGCAGACATATTACAGACATTTACAACAGAGACATATCATAAAATATTTACATATACTGTAAACATATTGAGCATTATTGGGAGACACTCTCACTGTTCCCCAGGCTGGGACAGGAGATCACATACTGGGCTGCCAGTTCAACTGAGTTCCCTCCTCCCTCTCCCAGTAGGGTTGGCGCCACCACAGCCAAACCTAACCCCTCCTCAGATGTTGCACTAGCCCCGAAGACAGATAGATGACCTTTACCTGAGCTGGATGGCTCTGCTGCATCTTTCCCTTGCCTAAGAGGTACGTGACATTTCACCTATCATCTGTAACCACACAGTGGTTGTGCTGAGTCAGGGTGAGATTTCCAGGAACATGCTGGGTGGCTCTATGATTTGCCTGCTGATATTTCCTGATGCTGTTATTTCCGC